CTACTTTTAGAAATTTAAGTAAATAAAAAATCAAACAAATACTAACAAATAAAATAAAATAAAATAATACAAATAAAAAAATGAATACATACAGGTCAGGTTGGTTTGGATTAAAGCGCGAGTTGAAAGCAGGGGATGTACAGATCAAGCCTCTCCAAATGATGCCTTTTTATCATGGCTAGTTAAAGCCAAAATATTTCTCTTCCCTTGAAATTAACCTTATCATTTCCCTTTCTAACTTTTTTTCTCTTTTTTCCCTCTTTAAAACCTAATTTTCGATGATTGAAAACTTCAAATTATCATTAAAAACTTTAAACTCTTATTAAAAAATTTGTCAAAAAACCCAAAATTTTTCAAAAAGCATCATCCTTCCCAGATTTTGACCATCAAACTTTATCGTATTCCATCATGCTCCAATTAGCAAAAAAAAAATTTTAATTGATCTTAACCCCTCAAATCTCTCTATCTAACTACATTTTTAGAAATCAAGCTATAAAAACTTACCTATAACCAAAACCTAAAATTCAAGGATGGATCCAAATTTTGAAAATTTATTATACAATATTATTTTTTTAATAATTATAAATTTTATATATAAATAAATTAGTTAGGGCCCCTCAAATTTAAATTTACCATGTTCATATATTATTCTTTATTATATATATTTGTTGGATATATGATAATAATAATTATTTGTCTAAATGTTACAATTCTTTAACTTAGATTTACTTATTATAAATGATTTTTAATTTAAAATGAATAAATTTGTCAATTATCATCACTATATTTTAACAAACATGTAGATTTAAATTTAACATATATTAGTATTATAATAACTAAAATCAAGTTGAAAAATATTCATTGGTATCTTTTCTTTTCTTTTTTTTTCAACCAAACGTTTTTTCTGTCTACATCCCACATGCTTATTTTCTTTAAAATTTGTTAAATGCCAAAATAATTAACATAATTTGCTTAAGTACCTTTTCATTTTTCATAATTTAAAAATACCATGTAAAAAATTTGAAAGTTTCAACTTATCATATCAAAGTCTACTTTTTTGTTCTAAAACATATTTTATTTAAAAATTTAACTTTTATAATTTTTTTTATTTTAATACTTAAAATATTAAATATAATAAGATAATATATTAATAACAAAAATATAATAATTTTATTTTTATAAAGAATATTTCTAAATGAAAGTTTAATTTCAATTCCATAGTATATTCATTTTATTATATATATTTACATATTAGCATATTTATAATTATAAATATTTTTGTTTATGTTGCATATGAAATTTATTATTATTATTATTATTATTATTATTATTATTATTATTATTAAATTTGATATATTTTTAAAAAATAAAAATAATTTATTATTATACAATATTATTTTAACTCCCTTAAAATTAAATATTAAGATCCGTCACTATCAAAATTCCTACCCGAAAAAAATTTCCCAAAACTAAGAACACTCCATTGCCAAAATTTTACTTTGGGATAATTTCATAATGATTTTTAAAAATACAGTAAAAATTTAATGTGATACTAAAACTTTAAAAAGATCAAATATAATACTTAAATTATAAATTTATTAATTAATATAATAATCATTTATATTTAAAAGTCATTCGTAACATTAATCTTTTAACTTTTGGTTCTTGCCTTTTGTCTATTGATTGCAGTGTGTAGTGTGTGCGATTGTGATGGAATTTCTATAGTGTTGAGTGCCGGTAGAGATAGGACTTTGAGTTAGGCAGGGTTTAAAATTTGTTTTTCTACATTTTGTTATCTGTTAATGTCAATTTAAATTTCAAAGAAGTTTGATTCACATTTCAAAGTTGTTTTTTAGACTTTCAAAACCTTGGATGTGGCAACTTTATTTAATTCCCTTCTTTCAAATTTTGGTTTTTTTTTTTTCTGTTTTTCAATCTTGTCTTTCTGATTTATTTTTTATTTTTTGATTTTCTTTTGATTTTATTTTTTTCATTTCTACTTTCGAACCTAACAAACCATATAAATAAAATAAAATAAAATAAATGAATAGTAACAGAATAAAATAGTCCAAATTAACTGGGCCTTTGGACAAAGTCCATCCTAACTGCTATAGCCCAAATCATTGTAGACAAAGGTCCACGTTTCATATTAGAGCAAAAAAATATTAATGAACGTAAAATGAACTTAAAAATTTTTCAACAAGTGTCTACAAAAATAATTAGCAATACAAATTTTGCAAGAATAAAAACTTTATCCACGTTTCATTGCTGGACAAATTTTTTTTAATTGAAATGCATTTTGATTTTTAAAATTATTTATATTTAATAATTAAACTAGCTTGTAATCCGTACAATGCACGAATTAATTTATTTATTTATTTTAAAATTATAATTATAAAATAATATTAAATTTTAAATAAATATATGAATAAAATATAAAGGTAATATTCAAAAATATTAAATTCTTAATTTTTTGAATTTTTTAAGTGAAAATGAATGATCAGTCTCTTCATAAATTATTTTCAAATTTTGTGTAATTATCAAATTTAAACTTGAAAATAATTTATTTAAATTTACAAAATGATAGAAAGTCTTGAAAAATAAACACTTTCCTAGGCTTAAGAATATAAATTGGATAATGCTTAAAAATATAATGAAATACAAATGAATTAAATTATCATTCATAATTTAACATATATAATTTCATTTTCACTTTAATTAATTTATCATTTTATATTTAAACATCCGTATTTAATGAAAAAAATTCTTATATTACAAAATTAAAGAAAATAGTTTTTTTTTATTATTTGAACAATTTGATTCAAAAAATAAAAAAATTGTAGATATTGTAAATAATTGTCTTCAAAAGTCTTATTAAAAAAAAAAAAAAAGCTTTTCATCTCCATTTCAATGTTAAGTTATTAATATAAGATGATAAAGTTTAGTAGCAAAGTAGATATACTTATCATCTTGTAAAGATTAATATTTTCAATAAGTAAAAGCAAGTGATATTATATCATTTCCATAGTTTACTTTTTTACTTATATCACAAATGGAGTACTCCAACTCAATCTTTTTCATGCCTGCATTTCATAGATACAACATTTAGCAATACAAAACAAACAAAGAAACCTCATGTAAGATTATTTTACTGTTACATTATAAAGATCAAAGATGTTTTAAGTTTTAATAACAAAATGAACATACCTCAATTTCTATTTTCTACAATAATCTAGTTAAACAAAATACAATATTTAAATATTGTCATTATAATGTTATTGATTTTTACCTAATAAAATTGTTGTTCTGTTTGATGGGATGCTCGATTTGGAAATTCCAATTTCCCTAACATAATATAAGATCTATTATTCCTGAAAAAGAAGTTTTAGAAGAAGGTCATTGTAACACAAAAATCTCACAAATTAATGGCAAAACTATAATTACTGATCAAGTAGAACGAAATTGGTAAGAAAACTTTTGTCACACTGCCATTTTTTTAGAGAGAATATCAATTATCGACAAAAACCCTTAAAGCTCTAAATTGGATGTTTTGTAATTAATATCCCTTTCAATCATTAACCAGCTACTAAGAATCAAAATAATAGTTTTCTAAAATAAAAAAAGAATATATGCAACTAGTAATAAATGAAAGAGATGAAAATGATGTTTTATTTGATATAAGTATGACTAAAACCATTGGTATGTGTAATTGATAGACTAAATGAGTAATAGGAGAAATTCAGCATAAAAATATTTCATTAAGGTGGAAGATGGCATCCATTAAATAGTGCAATGAATGATATTTGGTTTTTTAAAATTTATTAGGAAATTTATAAAAATAAATTTACATTTAAAATTTTTAAATTTAAAACAGATATATTTATATTGTTAAAAATATATTTAAATTATATATATTTAAAAAAAGATCATATATTTAGATTGTTAGAGATAAATTTAAATTATATATTTGTTTAAAATTTAAAAAAAGATGTATAGATGGTTTAATAGTTCATTTTAAAAAAGAAATAACAAAATTATTGATTTTATTCTAAATATATTTGAAAAAAATGAGTTTAGGATAAATTTTATTTGATTTAAATTAAAATAAAACTCTTGAAATATTAAAATAAATTTAATTTCTGAACTTTCAAATTTTTTAAACATAAAATAATTATTGAATGGGATTATTTGGTTAAAAATTGAAATTAAATTATTATCTTACATGTCAAAAATATAAATTATCCACATAAATATTCACGTGACATATATTATCAGGTATCCAAATATTCTATAATATAATATAATATATATACACATATATATATATATATTAGATTTAAGGTGAAATTTTTTTAAATTTTCAAAATTTTACATAGAGTTAATTGAATTTTTAATGTCTTATGTAAATTTTTTAAAAATATAATTTTTTTTAAAATCAAGATAAAAAAGATTAGTGAAAATTTTGGATAAACTTAATTTTTGTAATTTTTAAATATGTTTAAAAGATTTTGATAATTAAATAATTTTTTAAATAAGATTATTTGGTAAACAACTAAAATTATTTATTAAAAAATAAAATTCATAGTTTATATTTTTACTTTTAAAAAAATATCTCTAAATTGATTTGATTTTTAATTATAATTTGAATAATTTTAATATTTGAATAAATTTAAAATTATTTAATTTATAATTAAAAGAAACTATCTTATTTTTAAAAAAAATTATCTTATGTATCATTTAAGAGAGTTATCCATATAAATATTTATATAGTAAATTTGTTTATGTATATTGTTATATAATATATATATATATATTAGATATATTAGATTATGTTATTAATTTTGTAGTTTTGTGAAAATACGAATTTTATCACTTTATAATAATTTGAAAAATCAAATCTTTTTAGTTTTTGAAATTTGAATTCAACTACTAACGAAGTTTATTTTCCACGGTTAACTTCGTTCACATGGTTATGTGACTTTATGGAATAGTGTTGACCTTGCGGAGAGACAAGCTTCATTGTGAAACTGTTTGGGCAAATTTTTTATTTACGAGGCAAAGAGGTTGGCAATTTGGTGTGCAAGACCAGGCATTCCCTTCCTTTCCATCCCCTTTCTTTTTTTTTTTTTTTTTTCTCTGTTTCGGTTTACAGGATTTTGGGGATGGAGAGAGGTTGTGTATCCTTTTATGTCTTTTTAAGGGTTTTTGCCACTAGGTCAGAGAGTGGAAGGTGTCCTTTTATTCCTTACAACCAAGCTTCAAATCTCCGCCTATCACCTCCTCTCAAACCCGAGCGTCCTTTTTTTTTCTTAAACAAAGGAGGCCAAGGCTTAGGGGAACTTTATTTATGAGATTTGCTTCAACACCAGAAACCCCCCAAAAGGCTTGAACTTTCCCGTCAGGCAAAATGGGTATTTCTCAAATTCCTCTAATTTGTCACTATTCTCTTCTAAATCATGTAATTTTCTGCTTAATGAGTTTAATTTCTTCTGATAGGTATTTCTCGTGACTCATGATCATTAGGCGTGCTACTGGTAGCAAAAGGAAGGCCTGAGGAAGAAGAGAAAGTAATATGCTAAACCCTTTATTTATTTATTTATTTTTTGTTTTGATTTTCTTTTATGATTTTTGCTCTGTTCGGTTGCGTAGAAAGTTGATTTAGAATGATCCCTAAGCGTTTAGTTCAGTGATTAAAAGCGCTTGAGGGTCATTAAGGATCTGATTTTGAATCAGATCTCTTCTCTTTTTTTTAACTTGTATTAGGGCTTTGTCATTTTTTACGTAACAAAAAAAAAAAAAGGAAGTTGATTTAGAATGATTAAAAATGGGGTTTTTGTTGTTCAAATTTACTTGAACTAATATTCTAGTTCCAGCCTTTATTTTTAGATTTAGCTTCATTTTATTGTCATATGAAAATTTTGGAGCAATTTTATGTAGCTTTATTGGGATTTGTTTTGGTTAATTGATTCAAATTGCTTATCATGACCACAAACTATGCTATTTATTTTATGAGTTGAAAAGTTGTGCCATTCTAGTTTGTTTAAATGCCAGAGATCTTGTCCGGTTTCTTTTCTCATTGGGTTCTTTCATTTGATGTTTTCCGTCCTAGTTTATCTAGTTTTCTAAATTTTGTCCTTTTTTTTTATTTTTTTATTTTTTATAAGTATGAGCTTAGAAGGCAACCTGCAAACACAAAGCTGTGAAGCAACAAGACGGTCAGGAGGATTAGAGTTTGTGGTGGAAATGTGAAGTGGTGTCCACTGAGGCTCGACACTGGAAACTACTCATGGGGGTGTGAGTCTGTGACTCGTTAGACGATAATTTTGGGTGTCACGTGGTTCGTACTCATACTTTGGTGAAGAGTGATATTGTTCAAGTTGATGCTGCTCCATTCAATCAGTATATTATTCTTACACCTTCATTCATTTCTTTTACTTTGAATAAAATTTTTTTAATGTGAAATATATAATTTATTGAAATATAACATATTAGCATAAAAATTAAAATCAATTTTAACGTTTAAATTATGGTTAATTAATATAATTTTATTTTTTATTTTTTATTTATAATAAAATTAATAATTGATTAATATTTATTGTATCAACGTTTTTTTTTTAGTTTTTATTTAATAAAAATTTTTATCTCATTTGATACCCCCCTTTGTGGTGTTTCAATTCTGAGAACTTTGATATTTCCTTATCAACAGATCCAAGAAAGAGAAAGACGTAGGGACTAAATATTGTAGGCAATTAACTTTATTTGGCAAAATGCACATAATAAGGAAGTGCCATTAAATTTTAAGGTAAGGGAATTAAAAGTACATGTTACTACAATATGGTTCAATGAGAACCATACTTCCTCTCATGGGCTGTCACAGATGGAATTTTTGCATTCAAGTATTGTTTGACAGAAGCCGCAGCCTCCAAGGCCAACCCAGTCATACACTCATCTCAAACCATCCTACACAGATCAGAAACCAACTTGGTCATCTATTGCCCATTAGCATACTCAACAAATGCTGAAAAAAGAAGGCCTACAAAAGGTAATATCTCATGTTATTCTCCTTCTCCTATCCCTGCCTCTATCCCTGCCATGGTCATCCCTTTCCCTGCTTCCACTCTTTTCACGACGGTCCCGCTCCCTATCTCTCCCCCTTTCACTTTCCACATCATGAGATCTATCTCTATCCCTGTGCCTTTCACGGTCCTTTCCTGGATCATTTTCTCTATCCCTGTCTCTATTTGATGATTTCCATGGAGGGCTCTCACTTCGGCTTTGACTGCGACGCTGCTTTCTTGAAGAATCATGCACATCATCAAGCCTATCTCTCCTCTCCAACGATATTCTTTCTGCAATTTCAATAATGTATAAACTAACATTAAGATATGCTTTCAATTTTGAAAGGCTCATAATTACTCTTTCAAAGTATCAGCATCCTGTCAGCCAGTAAAATAACATACTTCTTCCTGAAACATCTTTACTAGAATCTGATAAACCATATTCAGATTCTAGGAGTTTCCGATGAACTGCAACCCTTCTCCCAATATCCTCGGCATTTTTAATTCCTTGCTCCTCAAGGTATTCTCGATATTCTATCAGAGCAACCTCCAGACGCCTCGACTTTTGCCTATGGTATTATATATAAGCATAGGGAAGCAACATTAAGTTAATAATTGCATGAGCAAATGCTGCTGCTCTGAGTTTATAAGAACATTTTTTGTTTTCAGTGGCATTAAGAAATGAGAGTTCATCATAATAAAAGTACAATACCTCTGCTCTTCATTACTTTCAGCTGGAGCTGGAATATTTACATCTGATCCAAACTCTGATTCATCGGCCTTACTAGAACCATCACCAGCATTCTCACTTCCAGAAAACGGGTAGCTCAACCCCAGACCCCTAGTGCTTCTCTTTTCTTCATCATCACTGTCATCATCCTCTCTAGCCCATTTAGAGGCAGGCAAAACATGATCTATTTTCTCTTTCTTTGTGAATGCTTTTAGTTCAGGCTGTGGGATTGAAAGGGTTTCAGCCAGAGGTACAGACCCTTTGTGTTGTGAAGGAATCTCATCCTCTGCATAATGAGTCCATCCAGATGATCCAACTGGCTCTGGTTTAGCATTTGCATCTCTCAGACCACTAGAATGCCTACTAGAACTTGATCTGAGCTTCAAGTCCTCATTTAGTTCATAACTCCTCTGCTTTTCTGCATCTTCCAGACTTAATAGCCTGGCAACCATTATCTCTCTACCACCAACAAGAGACAATCCATTATGTCTACAAAATCTTTCCAGCTCAGTGAGTGGGAGATCCATTAGCTCCATCATAGCTGCACCTTTGCCCATCGCCAAAGCAGCATCTGGATTGGCCTTAATCCCATCAACTGCATCTTCTGAGCTAGTCTTCTTTTCAATTTCAGGCGCATCACCACAAATAGAATGGAATGGGGCCAAACCAGAGTTTCCTGATCGAAGAAAAGTGGCTCGCAGTCCGTTCACATATGCATCTGAAAAGAGAAACCAGTCTGACCATACTTGCAACACTTTCAGAACCCGTTCCTGCAGAAACCAAGAAAAGGTCACCTTAAAACCCAAAAACCAAAAATAATAAACTTGCACTCGGCCACAAGCTAGTTCATTTAGCAGCTCCCAGCAAAACAAACAAAAATAGAAAGCAAATTGGAAGCTGGATAAAGTTTAACATTAAACAAACCTTAAGGGCCTCGGCAGTTATCCTTCCTGTTACACTGCGGTACAAATCATTAAAGCTCTCCATTATATCAGGCAATGTTGCTTCAAATTTAGTACGATAAGCTGATGCATTTTTAACAGGAGCACTGCTATTATGAAGAATGTCAGTGACGAGCATAAGCCTTGCAACTTTAGTTGGAATAGGTGTTTCTTTAAGTGTCAAAGACTCTGTCAAAACTTCAACTATCTGCAGGGAAAAAAATGTGAAAAAAAATAATGCACCAAATTTACATTCTCATAATATTGTTTAAGGTTCAGACTATAGAATAAAACCTAAGGATATGGAGGATTGTGCAAATAATTACACGTCACTGCTTGACCTAGAATGTTGTTCCTGTCCCTTAAAAATTCCTTTTATTTCCACAATTCTAGACTCTCTTTTTAACTTTTAAGACTATGATGATGAGGGGCCCAGCCAGCACCATTACAGTTTGAAAGTAGAATACAAAACTTACAGAGAATGAAAGTCAATAGGTATGGTGTTAATAAGCAGTACCTCTCCAGCAGCATCAGCATTGTCCAAAGAAAAACCCATAGCTTCCTTTATCTGAATCCTCTCTAATGTCAACGCTCGTAGCATGTCCTCAAATTCATCCCTTTGCAGATCAGTAAGAGTTCGTTCAGGCTCCACCCGCTGTAACAATTAATACATTAAAGGATTATTAACTCACCCAAATCTCACAAAGATGACAGAATCTGGAACAAAGTACGTTCATGTCTCGAATACCCTGATTCTTCCTGCAGCATATGTGGTACTGGAGTCCTTTTCATGCTCTGGACTTTTTGTAGTAGGCAGAGGTGGTGGTACCCATCTAGAAAAAGGATAAAAAAGCTAAGCATCATAAATAATGTCTTAACACTTCTGGAAAGAATTTTAGTAACAGTAAAAATGTTGGCACATCATTACCTTCCACTACCAGTTATCATGATAAAAGGTTCTGTCCGCCACCTTTGAAGAGTATCACCCTGCATTTCCTCAAACATTGAAATTCTTCAATTATATTCCTTCTTCACATATAAAACAAAACATGGCATATTACATTTCAATATAACCCCAGGGACAAAACTAGAAGATGCATTCAGATATCTAACACAAAGGACCTGAGCAAAAGAATATAGTCTCCAGATATAGTAAGTATGTTCCTTTGAGCCTAGCTCAAACAAAAAGTTGAATAGAGGATAGCCACGACCCCTCTCCATTATAGCTTGTTCAAAGGCACATCCTCCATCAAGAACATAAAGAGCCATTGTATCGATTACATGGCAAAGATGACCATCCTCTGGTAGAGCGACCATTATATCTGGAACATTCGGAGTAAGAACCTGGCATCCAAAAAAAACTATCAACATAACTCCAGAATAGAGTAATTAAGAATTACCTTAACATGGAGATAAATAAAACAATGAAGATAAGTCAGTTCAGCTACCAGTTCAGAATTCTGATTTGGAACAGATGTGACCGGTGGGCCTGAAGGACCAGATAAGATTATAGATCCGCCCTGCCAGTCAGAAAATAAGTTTCAGAATTATGGCATAGACAATCAAGAGGCAGTGGCTTTTCGAACTACCAACTCAAAACCAAAGTTATATTATCAGATCCTAGCTTCAAGAAAGAATTTTGGTCTTAAGCACCCTTTATTCAAAACATATATGCAATTTATTCAAGTTCAAACTCTTTTTGCAAAAGAACATAACCGACCTCCTTACTCCTGATGGCCATGTGTCCAGGTGGGGGAGCAGGTAATGCTTGTGATGGAAGAGCAACAGATTTACCCCACCCAATTTTCAACTCATATTCATAGACAACAACTCCTATCAAACAAAACATATCTTTATGTCATATATCAATTAAAATTAAAAAACAGCTACATATCTCAACAGTTAGTTTCAAATCATAGATTACTAATAACACCATAAAATGATAAAATCATAGGGCATTTTAGCATTTACAAATGCTTTGCATAACATTTTACTAGTAAAAGAATGTGGCGTCAACAAATTTATTAAAGAATTTTACAACTAACAACTTTGCTAAAGCATCTAAATTAGAACCAAAAAAAGACTGCTTGTGAGTTAAGGACATCAGGATGCACTCTCTTACAAGATTAATGACACACAATATCTACATAAAGGTTCTGGGAAATACCTTGCATTTCATCTTTTGCAGCTTGTCCATCAGCTCTATTCATGAAAGCCACAAAGCCACAATTTCTTTGCCGTCTCCGCTCCTCCTCTGTCCTAGGCCACATAATCTTCACACTAGCAATAGGACCAAATCTTCCAAAAGTACGCAAAAGAAAATTTTCATCAACCTATATAAAGAAGAATATTATGGTTAGAAAAGAACTAACAATTACTTAGCCACAAAGGGGAAAAGCAGATTAAAGGAAACAATTTAAAAACAATGACAAACATACCTTTGGAGAGAGATTTCCGACATAGAGATTTGTTGTTTGAGGATCACCATCATCAAATGATCCAGGCAGTTTTCCACTAGGATCAAAATCATCAAGCAGTTCATCAAAACGACTAGATGGCTGGGAAAGGAACAACCAAGGAATAAGATTCATGTATCTTTAAGGCAAAGAAGCAAAAAAAGATAAATGCTATACATGATAGAAATATGCTACATGAAAAAAAAAGAAAAATGCTCAGAATACACATATGCCCCTGCACATCTCAGTGCAAGAAACAAAGGGAGATAAGCGAGAGATACATGAAATACTGAAGAAGTTAAACCATACTACCAAATAACAAATTGAATCCCACTGAAACACTCACAGCTGAACTGTCACTATAATGCCCATCATGCCAATTTTCACGTTCCTGATTTCTCCTCTCCCTCATCTCTTGTTCATGCTTCAGCTCCTCCATAAAATGATCAATGTTCCGAGACTTTCCCTTCTCTTTCTCCTTTATCCTCTCCTCCTCCTACAAACAGCATAGAAAAGTTCAGAACTAAATGTGAATATCACAAATTGGAAAACTCAGTTGAAAATAATATAAATACAAACATCTGTCATAATTTCATTATCGAAATTGACCTTCTTCTCAGATTCCTTTCCCCTGGCTGCCAAAGGAGGCGGTATAAAAGATGGAACATACCTGCAGAAATAATTTGACAGATAAACTTCCATTTTACAGAAAGATTCATTTGTACAGATCCATCCATCCTTTAGCAAAACTTCTTACTTTTTCCTCATCAATGAACTTTAAAGCCTTGCGAGGTTGAAGCATTCTAAACTAGTTCTTAGATTTCATTAGTGGACTTAATTTTCAGCCAAATTTTTGTTGTTTGTGTTTAAGCATCCCAGAACAGCCTCCTTCATAAAATCCAATTAAAAGCATTTTTCTAACATTCGGCAGAAGAAATATGAAAATTTGGCTCATCAAAGTTAGATCTAAAATAAGCTTTATTCTTCTACAATCACAAACTGAAATTACTACAATCCTAAAAAAATTAACCCTTTCCAAAACGTTAGTAAAATAAAATGCTGGAAAAATAGTGAAAATTTTAAAAAATGGAAGGCGATCCAGCATGATAGGGAAAAAAAAAATACACAGGTTGGCTACTTTGATTCAAAAGTAAATATAACATGAGATAAGGTTATCTAACCAGTCTAAAAATCCCACAAGCAATGAAAACCATTCATGCAACTAACTGCACCTAGTTTGGTTAAAAATTTAATTGAATTGAGGACATCTTGATCTGATGTCAAGGACACAACATACGTTTATTTCCATCTAACACAATGATTATTTTAACTGTAAATTTAATCTAAAGTTTTATATTTTGCACCTATCCAAGCCACAAAGTTCAAGCATAACAGCAGGACTTACTTGATGACATGAAGGTATAACCTAATATAATTGTCAATAGAAAAAGATTTAATGACCAAATTGCAGGATAACCATTCATTTGAATTGGTTATTACAGTTTAATGATTTATTTAATACTTTTTCATTGCTTATTTAATACATTTTCATTGTTATCTCTAATTATCATTGTAGTTTGTTGACAGGAAACTTTTCAAATTTCTTCTACGGTATGCTAGGGGTGACCAACATCAACACATCATTAACTTCCTACACAGTTTTTGTTCAAAATACAGATTACAACTAATAAATAAGAAAAGAAAACGTAACAATTCCACAATTTAGTGGCAACTAAGAGTTAAATTCTGAAGATTATAAATAACAAGTATTTATTTTTCTAAGGTACAAAAGGACCCCACTAACTGCATCTTTTCAAATTTAATGACATGCAAGTTTCCAGCAAACTCATGAAATTTTTTTCATAATATTATAGAAGCCTTTTAAAAAACAAGGCTAGAATCAAATATCACTATAACCACCACATAACTTTTCCATCTATGATGCCTCACCAAAGGAGCATTAGCATTGCAGCATGGTTAATCAAAAGCAATTATTTACCTACTTCCCTTCTTTGGAACAGACACCCCATCTTTGGACTTTTCACCTGCCATCCGCGAATGATAAAAAAGGCCCATATTTTTATTAATGGTCCTCATGATATAATAGTAAAATCACTCTACTAATCCATAGTGAAAACCAAAAAAAAAAAAAAAAGAATGACACTTAAAAACTGAGACAAAATATTAAAATTGCTGCTGAAAACACAAACGTTGAGTCTCTGAATCAAACTAACCTTTAGAATCGGATTTCAATCTCTCATTGGGATTGATTGTTCCACCTCGAACGAATGCCTTTGACCCAGGCGTATTATCTCCTTGAAAAGACGCCAAAAACTCCTCATATAATCGAGCTGTTTCATCCTCCGCCCTCTGGTAACGGAAAAACAAAAACAACAAATCAAAAGTAGTATTTAGCTCAAATGAGTGAATAAAACCAAGTCCGGAAGCTGCAAATCCTGACATGAAACCAAATTAATTAGAAGTTTTAAGCTTTGTAGCTAAAAGAAATCGTTGCACCTTTTTCTTGGCTTCTTCCTCTTCTCTGTGCTTCTGGAAAGGCGTTTTCTTGCGCGCGATTGAAAACGGACTCATCTTCAAATGATTGAATCAACCATTCAAAACCCTAATCATTTAACCACATAAATATATATATCAACTTAAACCCCTAAATTGATTCGATCCTGAACATATAGTAAACCCTAGCAAATTACCTCCCCAATAGAGAAGAAGACGTGAAACCATACCTGAACAAATTGAAGGCTTTGTGCTATTGTGAGGATCGATTGTTAGGGTCGGGACAAAGAGAAACGTAGCCAGAAGAGGGGGGAAACAGATAAAATGGAGGTCTGTGGTTTTATTTACTTGGGAAAAAAAAATCGATTTTCATATTTTATCCCCGGAGGGACGTTCACAGGGAAAGCAAGTTGCAGTGGGAAGGGGAGTTCTAAACCAAACCCTAATGCATAATGAGTCAAAAAGGGTTAAACATTGGATTCTATAATTTCATTTTCACTTTCATGAACTTTAAACAAACTTTATTTAGGTGTAGTTTAGCATTACATTAAGATTTCAAAACTTAGCTTTTCAAGGCAAATACATTCCTAAACCTGTTATGATTCGTGTTAAAAGAAATTTAGAATAACTAAAACTAAATCAATTGCAAAGTGCAGTTGTTGTTTAAAATTTATAGTTTGAAAATAAAATTATAAAATATCCATTCAATTATTTATTTTTAACAAAAATAACTTTTTTTTTTCTTTCTAACATCATATCGATTTTAGACATTTTAATTTTTCATGATAAATTTTCGTAATAATATCAAACATTCAAAAATCTTAAACTATAGCATTTCAAATATACTATTTCCAAATCCAGCTTTTCCCAACTTAACAATAATACTAAAGTTGGCCTTATAGTATCATTTTTACCAACCAAATGGATGAATAACAATTATATATATATATATATATATGACTTTCCAGTTGAAAACTTGATCTGCCAACTAAAACAAAAAAGTTTTTCAGGAGATGATTTTGCAAAAAAAAAAAAAAAAAAGGTTTAAAATAAAAAAATCATTATATTAGGTATATATTTTTATTATTTTATGAATATCTTTAAACATTTTAATTAATCATAATACATTTTTACAATAATAATAAACACTTAAAATTTTTAATCACACTTTTTTGTCATATTTTTTAAATTCATTTTTCTTAATTCAAAAACTTTTCAACCACAATCACAACACTAAACTAACCTTAACCCTAAATATCGTTTTAAAGAATATGGCTTTTAATCCATTAACATAGAAATCAGAAAACCAATTGTGAAGGCTACGCCAATCAATATTTATACATACATTTAAAACTGTCCCTTTTTTTTTTTTTTTATACAGTTAAGTACAAGGAAAACTCACTAAAAAGAAAAAAAATTGCTTCAAAAGTCTCTCTCAAAAAATGCACCCATTGTCATCGAACCTTTTGATTTGAAAGTTGAAAGAGAAAAAAAAAAAATGTCTAAAGTCTAAGCTTCAAGAATGGAGAGAGCAGTGGCGTGGGTTTTGACGGCTGAGTTGTCATGAGTCATGAGTCGTACGTCAGATTAAAATGAATCTTGACAGTTACTGTGCAGCATTTGCTGCTTTTTATTGTGACGTATTTAATTAAAGCTCAATTTACTTGGCAATTGGTTGTCACTCAGCAAAATTTGAATAATTTAGCAAGGGAAGATAAACATCACGTGGCTAGATGGGATAATATGTTGTCTCATACCTCTCGCAATGATAAGGGTATTTGGTGGTAAAAAAAGTATAATAATATTTTTTTATGTTAAAAGTTTTCAACAAATAATAGAAGAAATTTTGTCACTTATATTGACTTGATATATCAAGTTAATTTGATACATTTAGTGTCACATTAGTTCGTTATTGTTTCTGTTATCCCCTAATGATCTTTTATTTCTTACTTATAAATATAAAAGTTCAAACACCATTAAGATAAATTCCAATTACTCTTATTTTTCCTTGTTACTTTCATTTCAATCTCATTTATTTTAACTTACGCATCGAAAGGAATACCTTTCGCTTTTGCTTCTAATCATCTTTTTCTTTTGTTTTTCCAAGATCTGACCTTGAGATCGAAACTCGGCACAAACATTTGGCACACCAAATATGGGACTTTTTCATTCACTAGCCAAGTGCGAAATAATGCTACCAAGGAAGAAAACTCTAGAGGAAAGAGAGGCAATTATCCCGACTAGAACAAAAATACACAACAGCTAATACTTGAACAATCTTCCCCACCACAGACAAGCCTAACCATGGAATAGTTCTAGGCCCTTAAACAGATATTACAAACCATAACCTTATCACAAGCTTCGAAGGTGCTTGACCTCATTACCCTTGGCCAAGGAATCACAGTAAAACAACCAAGCTATAATCAGCTGGAAGCCTCTTCGACCTTCAAAGAAGAGGAGCATAACACTCTAGGTCACCATTACCTTAATCATAATTCGACACATGCCATAACCTAAAAATCCAAACAGACAAATCCTGAACCCTAACCGAACAAAGACTTGAAAGCTCGAATGCAGGCCATGGAGAAAAAGCTAAAAATAAAAGTAGTGGCATTCAAGTATGAGCTTAAGTTTCTGGAGACCTCGTCTTTCACTAAAGAAATCAATAGAGCCATACCTTTCAAGAGGTTCAAAATGTCAACCTTGGAGACTTACGATAGTACTCTCGTCCCTTTCGATCATTTGAAACTTTATAGAACTAACATGATTATGCAAGGTGCAAACGAAGCTCTGATGTGCAAAGGTTTGGCTACCACTCTGAAGGACGTAGCTTAATCTTGGTACAGTAGCCTGGAACCAAGATCAATTACGACATTCAATAGCTTAACTATTTTTTTTTTTGTTTTGATTTGTAAGTAGTCAAAGAATGAAAAAGACAATTCTGAGTCTGATGTTAATCCACCAAGGTTGTAGTGAATAGTTAAAGATCTATAGGACTTGGAGTAAACAGCTGATGTGGTTGCCCTGACAAATAGACTCAATGACAAAGAGTACCACCTAAAGCTAACCTTGTCATTAGAACCACTTAACACTTTGGTCAATGTCCTATTAATAGCTAAGAAATATATAAATGCTGAAGCTATAATGAAAAATAATCAAGATGAAAGAGGCTCATCTCTCTTCCTCAACAATCGAGATGAAAGAGGCTCATTCCTTCTCTTCAGTTGTAAGAAAGATAAAGATTTCTATAATTCTCCCCCAAGAGAGAGACAACATTGGGCTAGAAGCCCTAGTGGAAAAAAGAACTACACTTTACTAAATACTTCTTGATAAAAGATTATGATGTAAATTGAAAGGAACCCTAACCTAAAATGGTCAAAACTACTGAGACAGAACACAATAGAGACCCGACCAAAAGATGTGCCTTTCATAGGGATATAGGCCATAATATTGAAGATTGCATTGACTCGAAAAATGAGATTGAAACCCTGATAAGGAAAGGTCAGTTAAAAAAGTTTGTAAAACAGCGAAGATAGGGCCAACCTATAATAGACTACATACAAGACCAAAGAGAACCTACACAAGGTAAAAAAAAATTTTCTAGAAAATGGAAAAAAGAAAGTCTAAAGAGATAAATCAATTCAAGAAAAGGTTCGAACAGATAATAACAGGCCAATCATCTGGTGATTAATATGATAACTGAAAGCAGTTTCACCTTGGCCAAAAGAAAGTTCAATTTGGGAATAGTCATGACAGTAAGCACCTCAATGAAAAAAGAAAAAGATTGGAGAGATGAACCAATCTAATTCAGCCTAAAAAATTTTAAAGGAATCCAACATCTGCATGATAACGTTATAGTGATCACAGATGTTGTATACAACTATATAGTCAAGAGAATCTTATTTGATAATGGGAGCTCAACTGACGTCATATACTATAGCATCATGAAAAAAATAGGAATCAGTGAAGACCAGCTACAATTGATCACTATAGCACTAATATGATTAGAAATGAATAGGTACCAGTGAAAGGAACAATCAATCTACTGATCTCTTTTGGGACAAAACCAAAAACTATCACCTCGATCATGAATTTATGATAGTCAATTTCTCATCAGCTAATAACATGATATTGTGTCAATTTAGCCAATCTGTTATGCGGCTCGTAGGCTCAGCTCATTATCTGAAAATGAAATTTCCAACACCCAATAAGGTTAAAAAGGTCAGATGAGACTAGTCCACTACACAATAATGTTATATAACCATAATGAAATGGAGGACTAGAAAGCAGACTGACAATTCGATCAAGAGTAAAAACACTAAAGAATGACGGATAGTGGAGGCTAACAAGAAGCAAAAAGCCACAAAGCAAGAATATAAAATGTAAGACTGACTTGAAAAAAGTGGACTTTTAAGTAGTTTCGAGCTCTTAAGCTCTAGAAAAAAGAAAACTTTTGTTCAATTTTTTGAAAATTTTAAGGTGACTCTAAAAATGTTCGAGCTTTTAAATTGGCATAAAAAATTACATGTCATTAGGACTGAGCAAATAAGCTTGCCAAAATACATTATGAAATGAAAAATATATACCAATTTCATGACATATGTATTCTACAACTCATCAACAACATAATGATCATCACGTCAGGATTTATTTTTATAGGAAATGGTCCCAACCTAACCGAACAAAAAAAAATAATTGACCAAAGACTGGACTTGGACTAAAGTCGACCTAAGCTGGTAGAGGCTCTAGAAGCCATACCATTTTGGGGTAGCATCCCTAAAAAATATATGCAGATCGAAACCAAACTTTAACATAAGGATTAGTTAATCTAACTTCTAAGAGATAATGCCAACCTGTTCGCCTAAACACCATTCGATATGCCTAGGATTGATACCAAAGTGATGGTCCATAAGCTACATATTAATCCTGAGGTAAAATTGATTCGACAGAAAAAAAGAACCTTTGCCCTAAAAAGATAAAGGGCCATCGAGGAAAAGATCAATAAATTATTGCAAGCAAGCTTTATCAGAAAAGTTTACTACCATAAGTGGAAGCCAATATGGTCATAGTAAAAAAGCAACAGCGAAAATGATGTGTGTTGACTTTATCTACCTAAACAAAGCATACCCTAAAGATAGCTTTCCTTTCTCTAGCATAGATTGACTAATGGATAATAGTGCCAAGCATGGCCTCCTCAGCTTCATAGATGCCTATTATGGTTACAATTAAATTAAAATGCTAAGGGATGATGAGGAAAAGATAGCCTTTATCATCGAGAAATGCCTTTATTGTTACAAGATAATACTCTTTGGATTAAAGAATGCAAGGGTGACTTATCAAAGGCTGGCAAAAAATGTGTTTAAAAATTAGATCGACCACAACATGGAAGTATATGTGGATGATATGATAGTCAAAAGTAAGAGCTTGACTAAACACCTTGAGAAAATATAATATGAGGCTTAACCTGAGTAAATGTGCATTTGGAGTCACATCAGGTAAGTTTCTTGGTTATATGATCAACAAAGGGGGATAGAGACGAATTCAAAAAAGGTTTAAGCAATCCTAAACATAAAGGCACCGACCTTGGTAAAAGAAGTATAAAAGTTAACTGGCAGAATAGTTGTCCTAAGTTGATTCATGTCCAAGTTGATAGA